TTTATTACTGGGTGGTGGTGATGGAGGATTGGGGGGGGAAGGAGGAGAAACAAGAGGTTGGGAGCGTGGGTTGGGGGAGGGGCGAGATGAGGAGACGGGCTCCGGGGTCCCCCACGCACGGCCACCCCTCCCAGCCACCATCTGGCGCGAGCGGGTTGGCGTGGGGAACCGAGGTGGGGCGGGGGCCGGCAGATGGGCCCAGGCTGCGCTCGGGAGTTAATGTAGGTTATGGGCAGGCGGAGTCCCAGGCCTGAGGGAGGGGGAGCCCGGGGCGTGCCTCCCGGCGCTCCTGGCAAGTGGGCTCCCAGATCCTCTGTCCGCCCATGCTCTGTGGATCCCTGGACCGGCCTCTCTCGGATGCCAGAGGGTCCTCCTCCGTGTCCTCTGAGCTGGCCTCCAGCCCTACCTGGTTCTGTCCACTCTGATTCCCAAATTCTGGCCTGGGGGTTCATAAAAAGACGCTCCTTTTCTGGCGCTGGCACTACTTGCCTGACCCTCAAAGGAGACATAAAGTCCCACACAAGGCATCTCTCTCAATATTGGCAGATGTGGAACTACCCTCGTACACACCTGGACTCATGTGCCTCAAAGCACTTTGCAAATAGTCAAGGACCAAACAAAATGTGGGATCCTTCTTCTCAGAGACGCGAAATGCACGGAATACCAGAGATCCAGAAAGCTTGTGACCTGAGAAGGAGAGGGTTAAATCCTCCTCAACACCCAAAGGCATTTATTTAGGAAGCACCTATTTGCGGGGGGCCGCTGTCCCAGAAGCTCATTGCCAGGCTAGGACGCCGCCACCCTTGGCCTTGGGTATCTGCTAGCGCTCTCATGTGCTGGGGTCGAGCTTTGCCCATATTTGCCGAGCAGGAGAGGGTCACGGAGCGGGCAGGGAACCCGAGTGCGAAGGCCGCTCCACGGCTGGGGCCGCTCCTCCCTTCTCGCACTCGGAATTTGCGGGCGGAAGAACGCATCGCGCTGCCCGGGCGCTCAGGGGAGCAGGAGGCTGTGAGGCCATCGGAGGCCGCGGATCACCGTGGGGTGGACCCCCGGAGAAGTCTGCCGACCCTGCCAGTGATGCAGACGCTGGACACCCCGGAAAGCGTGCATAGACACGGGGTCCGAACGACCCGGGCTCCCACGCAGGTCCACGGTTCCTCAGTCCGCCCCGCCGCTGCAACACTGCCTGGCGTCGGAAGCGGGAGAAGGGTCGAGGCCCGGTTTCACGCCGGGCGCGAAGCCTCTGCCTCCAAAGTCCTTCTGCTTCTGTTGTCCCCTCCACTGGGTCACTGCGCACAGTCCACCCAGCTGGCAGAACCAGCACCTGAGGCCGGGAACCTCCAAGGTTGCCTTGCAGCCGTGACCCTACGCCGACCCCGCGTTCCTGGGGGGTGCGGCAGGAGCCGCGCAGAGCCCCGGGGCTCCTTTCCTGCTGCGTAGCCTACTGCGCCCTCCCCGGGGCCGCGGGGGCGCAGCCCTGAGGCCTTCGGCGGCGTTTTGCCCCTCCTCTCCCGCCCCGCTCCCCGGGGACCGCGCTGTCGGCGGAGCA